CGGTAAGACACTTCACATTTTTTTGTAGAGCGACATTAAAATCATTGTTGTTCCGTATGGATGAACCTTTAAAAAATTCCTTTTAGTGGATAAGATAGAGAATTGGAAGCATAACAATCTGGCAAAAAAAGAAATTAGCTTCATCTACTGTGTAAGCCGAAAAGGCCCAATCAAAATAAAAAAAAAAATCGATTTTCGCACTGAATGTAGAGCGACATTATAAATTTTGTGCTTGCTATAACTCAATAAAACCTTATCTATTTTAAACAAAAATTGGTGTATTTCTCAGTCTTATGGAGTAGAGTAATATTCCAAAAAAACAAGCAAAGATCTTTTTTCGTTCGTCAGAAAACTTAGTTTTACTTTGAAAATGAAGAGCGACATTTTTAGGAATATTTTTCCCTCAAAACTGAACGACACATAAACATATCATACAGAAATCGGTTCTTTCTGAGAAGTTCTCTCGTTCTACCAAGTTTGTGTACTTTGATAGCCACCTTAAAGAGGTGTCAAGGGCTAAAAACACCTAATTCTTGTGGTAGCTTTGTGAAGGAAGCTTCTGATCCCAAAGTACACTTGTCAACGGTTATCAAATATCGCGTTAAAGCGTCCCGTCAAATTGTATCTGAATACATGAATAACTTATAGATCTGAGGTTTGTTATGATCTGCCATTCCTGGCAGCTCATAAGACTGTGTTTTCTTCTTCTTCTCCTTTCTTTCTGTTATTGCGCAATTCTAGCTTCATAATGGGATTTTCCTAAACTATTTCTGTTCTTATGTAACTCATGCGCAACTCTTGCATAACTGTTGTTCAACTTGTGTACTATATATAGCCGTTCACTTTCTTAAATAAAGAGGAGAAGTGAGTGAGTAGAACCTCACAAGGTTCGGCTCCCATAGGTCTGATTTAATTTAGTAAAGTAAAACTGGCTTTCGTTTAGATTTTTAAAATTTTTCTAAAAACAAATATTATCGAGAGATTCAACAGGGTCGATTACCCATAGTCCATCCATCTTTAAGGCTACCAATAGCCGTATATCAGTTGTATTCAGTTGTTGTTGTTCATTTTCTTTTTTCATTATTGAAAATAAATCACCATTTTTGTCACCAATAACATAAGACATTATTTTCAGCTGATAGTCTGGATGTCCTACCGATTCTAGTCTAATTAGTACAGAAAAAATATTTTCGATGATTTTTAATATTTCTAATTGTTCATTAAGTATCAACTTTTTATGTGAAATACTTTGTAAATCAACATTACAAAATGTTAGTTGTCGTTTATGATCAATTATAGCAGATTGTGACTTTGTAAAATGAATTTTTTCCATTTCGTTACTACTATGACGTCTCATAACACTTTGATTTTCTTGTTGAGATGAAAGAAGAGCATTATTATTCTCAAGCACATGCAATGTTGTTATATTACGCACTTTTCTATATAATAATTTAATTCAAAATAAGATTTCTCATCAATTAAATGTTTTAAGTGGATATCAACTTTTCCGTTTTTATATAATCGTCCCATTGTTATTAATGCATTATCTAAAGTGCTTATTTCATCTGTTGCTAGCCATAAAGTAACTAGTTGAATATTTTCATTAACAATTTGTAATTGATTGATCGATTCATCAATATTATGTAAATTTAATAAACGTTTAAAAAAATCTTCAACATTCATTGCTTTTACAACAAATGTTTCACATCAGCATAAGTAACAATAAGAACATTTAATATTAGATTAAATTTTTCTTGTAGTTGAAATTGTGTCGTTAAATTATCACGTAATTCACGAAATCTTAATCTTCCTTTTGGACTATATAATGCAGCTTTTTTAAACGTTTTTATAACAGATGAACATTCTAATGTTACTTTTTATTTAATTGTAAATGTCTGTTATCTAATCCGTTGAATATAATTTTTGATGTTTCATTTGATTCTGAAATATGTTTTAAATGTTTGTCTTCGATATTACTAAGAATTTCTAGTTGTGTTATTGATTGATTATTATCATCAATAATTTCAAAAGATTTAATACAGTCAATAATTGTTGATATAAAACTAAAATATTGATATATCTGTAACCATTCACATATTTTTTCGATTTGTCTTTTTAGATTTTTACTATCACTCCCTTGAGATAAATATAATTTTGTAACTTCATCTTTTATATCAATACTATCATTAGAAAATGTTGTTTTTGAATTTAACATTTCAGTTAAACTAACATCACCAATTAATAATTTATCAATAAATTTAAATACACCTTTGCTTAATAGACTAGCTACATCTTTTGTTGTTATTTGTCGTGGCTCATTATAATGTTCATCAAAACACGAAATAATACCTTGCGATGATAATTATTGATTACTGTTGAACTTGTATGTAATATCTGGATATCACAAGGGTAATTTTTGCATGCTAATGACCATTGTATTAATTGTCTACCACTGATTTTAATCAGTTTCTCACCAATAGACTTTTGACCGACCTCAAATGTATTGACTGATGATGATTGTTTTATTTCTCTGATAAATTCTTGAGCATTTCTGTTTAAATTAATTGCATCTTGATTTGTTATTGTGAATGATGTTGGACAGCTAAGCAATCGACATAAACGTTGTAAATGACTTGATAGCGGTATGAGTTTATCTAGAAGATTTTTAACCAAACTTTTCACAAACACCAATTCCATATCATTTTCTTCGAGTTCTTTCAGACTAATTAACAAAAAATCCATATCAACTACTTCATAAATTTTTAACCAAGCAATAATAGGTTGAAATGTACTGATGAAACCATCAAACCATTGAATCCATTCAAATACCTGATCTATAAAATCAGCTAAATTGTGGGGAAGTCTGATATCGTTGGGCTTTTGCAGATGTGTCAATATCTCATCAATTATTGGAATGGTTGTTGGAATTTTATGCTCTTCACTGCTAAATAATTTAATCTGAGACAACTGGATGCCACTAGCTAATAGACTTAAACAGCTTGCACGATTTCGTGAATAATGAAGTCTTGTGTAAGTGGAGCGTTTTGCTAGAAACCAAAAGTTAAAAGAATGTTATTTATGCACTTCGTGAGTGATTGTGTCACAGGATTTAAAGTTTTTTTCAAAAACTCGTAGGAAACGACAGAGATGTTCCATCTTTTGGTACTAGAGCCTGCCGGGTGGATTTTCGAATTCACACAGGGGCTCACTGTTTCTGGATAGTGAGGATCCATTCCTACTGAGTATAAACACCGTGCAGTACAACGCAGAGGAACTGAGTTAGCGGCAGCACAGGGAGTAGTGAAGAAAAAGGTAACAGAATTGTTAGTTAAGAACAGTAGTGGTAAATATCAATGTCCTGGTTGT